GTGATTACTAAACCTCTACACTAAGTAACTGGTTTAGCACTGCCATAATCCTGGTAGTCTGGATGGGATAAAAGAGGCAGAAAGACTCGGTGAAGGCCTCTTGTTACTTTTGCTGCCTTTTGCACACCATGTTCTTCTCTGTGATGCCTGTTTGCCATCCCTGCCTTGGAGCCAGCAGATTATGGACTGAAACTTCTACAAACTGTGAGCTAGATAAACCCTTTCCCTTTTAACTTTTAGTGCTGGGTATTTTGACTCAGCAACAAGAGAAAAGTAACATTCTTGAAGAAACTGAAAAGTGCTACTCTTGTGAACAGATGAATAAGAAAACAAAACAGCCTAACTGTTTAGTCCTCTGCATAGAAGATCAAACCTACCACAAATTAACCCCAGCTAAAGCCTAAAACAGAACAAGCTTCTAACTGCTCCTTTTAATTTTTTTGTTTTGTTTTGTTACCAGGGATCGAACTTGGGTCCTTCCGCTTGTGCAGCAGGCGGCGAAACCACTGAGCTAAATCCCAGGCTGCTCCCTTTAATTTTGTGAAAGATGAAAGAGACAAACAAATTACACAAGAAAAGTTTGAAATTAGCTGAGGCTGATTCATGAAGTTTAAGGAAATAAATAATCTCCATAACACAAAGTGCAATGTGAAGCAGCCAAGTGCTGATACAGAAGCTACACCAAGTTGTCCAGCAAATCTGGCTAAGTGATAAAAGTAGCTAAACCAAACAACAGATTTTTCAATGCAGACAAAATAGCTTTCCATCAGAAGAAGATGCCATCTAGGACTTTCACAGATAAGTCATTGCCTGACTTCAAAGCTTCAAAGGACAGGCTCTTTAAGGGGCTGGTGAATGGAAGATGAAGTCAATGCTCATTCCAACATTCTAAAAATCCCAGGGCTCTTGTAAAATATACTCTATCTCCTCACCTGTGCTCTATGGAACAACAAACCCTGTGTGACAGCAACCTGCTTAAGAGATTACTAGGGCTGGAGATGTAGCTCAGTGGTAGTGCACTTGCCTAGCATCCACAAAGCCCTGGGTTCAATCTCCAGCACCGCAAAAAAAAGTGAGAGATTACTGAAGATTTTAAGCCTACTGTTGAGATCAACTGCTCCCTCAGAAAAAAAAAATCTATTTCAAATGATTACTGCTCAATGATAACGCACCTGGTTATCCAAGAGCTCAACAAGATGTACAAGGTTAATTCTGTTCTCACACTTGGTAACAGTATCTAGTCTGTAGTACATCATTCAAGGAGTAACTTCAATTTTTCAAATTTTACTTAAGAAATACATTTCAGGGGCCCGGGATTTAGCTCAGTGGTTTCACCGCCTGCTGTGCAAGTGTAAGGACCCAAGTTTGATCCCCGGTACCAAAAAAAAAAAAAAAAAAAAGAAATACATTTCAGAAGGCTATGGCTGCCATAGATAGTGAATCTTCTAATGGATCTTGGCAAAGTAAATTGAAAACCTGAAAAGAATTTAGTATTCTATATGCCATTAAGGACATTTGTTGACTCATAGGAGAAGGTCAAAATAGCAGCATTATCAGAATTTTGGAAGAAGTTGATTACAACCCTCATGAATGGTTTTGAGTAGTTCAAGATTTTACTGGAGGAAATAACTATAGATGTGGAGGAAGAGCAAGAGAACAAGAATTTGAAGTGGAGTCTAATGGTGTGACTAACTTGCTGCCATCTCCAGATATAATTTTAACAGATAAGGAGCTGCTTCTTATGGATGAGCAAAGAAAATAACTTCTTAAAATGGAATCTACTGTTGGTGAAGATCCTGTGAAAACTGTTGAAAAGACAACAAAGGACTTAAGAGTATTACATAAATTTAGTTGATAAAGCAGCAGCAGGGTTTGAGAGGACTGACTCCAATTCTGAAGAATTCTGAAAGAAGTTCTATTATGCATGCTAGAGAGAAATCTTTCATGAAAAAAGGGACAACTGATGCAAAAACTTCACTGTCTTAAAAAATAGCCACATCGGGCTGGGGATTTAGCTCAGTGGTTCTGCTGCCTGCTTTGCAACCACAAGGTCCCAAGTTCGATTCCTGGTACCAAAAAAACCAAAAACCAAAAACCAAAAACCAAAATAGCCACATCGGGCCAGGGATTTAGCTCAGTAGTTTCATGCCCACTGCGCAAGCGCAAGGACCGGAGTTTAATCCCCGGTACCAAAAAAAATACCAAATAGCCACATGGTGGTACATACCTGTAATTCCGGCACTCTGGGAGGCTGAGACAAAGGATCACAAATTCAAGTCCAGCCTGGGGAACTTAGTGCCTTAAGCAAGACCCTGTCTCAAATTTAAAAATTTTAAAGGGCTCGGAATGTACTTCAGTGTGAAGGCCCTGGGTTCATTTCCTAGTACAGGCCCTCAAAAAAGCCAAAGTGACCCCAACCTTCAGCAACCACCATTCTGATCAAACAGTACCCATCAAGACAAGACTCCCTACCAGCAAAAAGATTTGAAGGTTCAGATGATCATTAGAACGTTTTAGCAATAAAGCATTTTTAAATTAAGGGATGTATCTTTCTTTAGGCATAATGCTAGTATAATGGAAATATAACTTTTATATGCACTGGGAATCCAAAAAACTTGTGTGATTTGTTTGACATTCACTTTATTATAATGGTCTGATAAGTGAATCTGCATTATTTCCAAGCAATGCCTGTACGCTAAATTCAGATACAGAGTTTATGCAATAACAGAATGTCTAGGTAACAGGAGCCTATAGTGGTGGAGAAAATGGAAAATTTAAAAATCAAATATAAAGTACATATTAATAAAATGTAAAGATAAATTGTCAAATGATAAAAAACAGTATATAGCATAATTCCTCTTTATTAAAAAAAAATTTTTTTTTAAATATTGGCTGGGCATGGAGGCCCAAGCCTGTAATCCCAGCACTCGAAAGACTGTGGCAAGAGGACTGTCATGAGTTTAAGGCCAGCTGGGGCTACATACTGAATTTAAGATCAGCCTGAACCGCTTGGTGAGGCCCTGTCTCAAATAACAGCAACAACAACAACAACAAGTAAATAAATGCATGCATGGATGTGCTTATATAAATATGAGAAAGTTTGGAATGATATAAATATAAAAGAAAGTTTGAAATGATATGCACCAAACTAGAGATAACATCTGGAACTATTTGGGGAAAAGAAAGTCACATTTTCATTGTTTAATAATTTATAATTTGTCTGATTTTCTTTTTTGTTTTTATCTGTTTATTGGTTTCAGGCTGGCCTCAAACTCAAAGCAACCCTTCCACTTCTGCTTCAGCTTCCTGTGGGGATTACAGGCATGTGCCACCATGTCCAGGTTGACTTTTTTTTTTTGGTACTGGGGATTGAACTCGGGACCTTGTGCTTGTGAAGCAGGCAGACGAACCACTGAGCTAAATCCCTGGCCCTCCAGCTTGACTTTCTTTTTTATAGTGTACTATACTGTACTTGTACTGCTAAAATACAAATAACATATAATATAAAGATTTTTTAAAAATTCCTATGGTAGAGTTTATCCCTGTTATATTTTATAGTTGTAATTACCATTTCAAACAGGTACCACCTAACCCAATTCTATTGTATGAAAACCGATTCTATTGTATGAAAATTGTCAAAATACTCTACCAGTATTTGAGAAACTTCATGAACAGCAATTTTTAGAAAATAAATGTTCTAATACCACAAGAATATGCTAAAATCATCTGCAACAATTTTACCTTGAAAATATTTTAATAAAAGTTAATACAGTTGTTACCATTTACTCAATGCAGAGATTATAAGAAAAAAATCACTTTACCTCCATGCCCATTTTTTTTCGGTACCGGGGATCAAACTCGGGTCCTTGCGCTTGCAAGGCAGGTGGCGAAACCACTGAGCTAAATCCCCGGCCCTCCATGCCCATTTTATTAGCTTACAGCAAACAGTGTTAACAACATGCACCTTTACATGTAATTTTCAATATTCACAGATCTTGACTTTGGTGTTTGCTTTCATAAAAAGAGAACTATATAAGATTACTTTGCATCTTACTACATCCGGACAAATTTTAGAAATATTTACCTAGTAGCAAAAACATTTTTTGTTTTACTTAGATGAAATAATATGTTTGGAATTTTTTCCAGATTTTTGCCTCTTGTGAGAGTGACAACACAAGCAGACATAGAACTCACCCTACACCAGTTGGGCTGATAAAAATGATACAATAGGATACAACAACAACCTGGTTACCACAAGCTATTGGTTTTTTTCTTACTAAGTTTGCCTGCTTTGGCCCTTTCATCAAAGCCTAAAAAGAATGTATCGTCAAAAGTCTTAATTGTACAAGGAAACTATAATAATAAAATTCAATTTCTCAAAGATTTACTAACTTACTCTTATGTATCATCTTTTTCCCTAGCTTAAAAAAAAAGTCTTGGGCCAGGGATTTAGCTCAGCGGCGCTGCGCCTACGTCACAAGCGCAAAGTCCTGAGTTGGATCCCCAGTACCAAGAAAAAAAAAATTTTTTTTTAAAGTCTTTCCTCACAAGAATACTATCCTTCAGTTAGTTAATTAGTTACAGCTCACAACTTAATCCTCGTCTAGAACCTAATCTAGGTTAAAGGATTTACAACATGTAAAAGAAACACCAAGATCCTTTAACAACTATTACTAAACCACCTGCCCATCTACCACATTCTAGTATACCTATGTAGTATACTGGTCTTTTGTTTATGGTTTTTAAAAATACATATGTCCATTCAAAAGCAAAAGAGAAAATATATTCAGATTACTGGCATTGCATCTTTAAAAATGCCCACAGTTCCACGGACTGTTTTTTGTTTTGCCTTATATACACTGCCACAAGTACCACTGCTTCCTAACTCTAACACAATTAAACACACACACACACACACAAGAACCTTGGCTCATTTAATGACTTGAGATTTGCCTTTTTTAAAAACTGACTGCTATTATTAATACTCACTGAAAGCTTACCTCTAGTTCTTTAATTTTTTCTTCTGCTATTTTCTGTTTTTCCAACAGCTGATTATGAATTACCTCTTTGGATTGAAGAATAAACCTACAAAATACAAAAAAGTTGAAAGTTAATAAGCCATATAACCAGTATGTTCATCAAAACCAATAGCTATAGACCACAAATGCTAAACTAAGAAAATTAGAAGGATGATTTCTAAATTTAGAACAAGTAAAAATGTCATGTTAATGTGATAAAGTGAGGAAATCACTACAGGTTTAAGTCTTGTTGGCTGAGAAGGAATAAAGGCCGAAAAGTATATTCTGCTTTTTATTTAAAGACAGAAATCCAGCTTCAGGGGCCGGGGATTTAGCTCAGTGGTTCCAGCACCTGCCCTGCAAGCACAAGGTCCCGAGTTCAATATCTGGTGCCAAAAAAAAAAAAAGAAATCCAGCTTCAAGTAGATTCATATATAGAAAACAAATATATAAAGAGGATAAATATCACAGATTAACAGAAAAAGTCAACAAAACCCTCCTATAACTTTTATTTTTAGTTATATAATTTTTATCCAGCTATTTTATTTTTATTTTTAGGTACCGGGGATTGAACTTGGGACCTTGCGCTTGCAAGGCAGGCGCTGGAACCACTGAGCTAAATCCCCGGCCCCTATCCAGCTATTTTAAAACAATATTTGTAAACTAGACCTTCCCTCCATTTTTTTTTTTTAACCGCAGTAACTCATGACCTTTTACAGTCACAATCAAGTACTGTGTTAAGATCAGTGGATTAGTGTTTACATGAGCTCCTCACACAAAAAGCCCTGTCTGTATAAGCTCCAATATCTTTTATTATTATTTCCAGAGCATATAATACCTCTGAAAAGCTCAAATGCACAAGTGGAAAATTTCAACTTTTTCCATTTTACAGTCAGGCACATTTTTTACTACTGATGAGGGTGGAAATATTGGGAAGTTAAAAATTAACACTGAAATCTGTTTTGTGGCTTTATGTTCATAATTCTTGCTGCAGGGAAAGGAAGAACAAACTGTTTTACTGCCTTGAGTAAGTAAACTACAGTATTTCCCTTCTACTGAAACCAAAAGAAAACCTAAATTATTCAAACCTCATTCAGGATTGTCTAAGCTGAATAGATTTCAATTAAAGATTATAATAAAATTAAGTAGACTATTTCTTCTCCTTGTACTTAGAATTCAGCAACAAAGAACTAAACATCACCTCTAAACAAAAAAGCCAAACAGGAAAACACATGAAGGTAGCAATATACAACAATTTCCTCTGCTGACCGCACCAAATCAATACTGCACACAGATGGGCTCTCACCAAAAGGGTCTGTTATAACTATAAGACCCATAAAAAGGACAACTAAGTACAACTGACAACTAAGAGAAAACTTTTTTCCTTGTCTTCATGAATACAGTTTGTCACACATTAATACAAAATGATGAATTTCTCTTTTTCACTCCATTAATTGCCCCGCTTCTAATGTGACAAGTCCAACATGATTTAACTAATGATCTTATTAGTCTTTTTATGGGGGTGGGGGGACGGACAGCAAGTGTCACTATTGTAGCTCAGGCTGGCCTTGAATTCATTATGTAGCCCACGGTGGCTTCGAACACAAAGCAATCCTCCTGCCTCAACTTCTGAATTGCTGGGATTACAGGCACATGCCACCACAGCTGGCAGTCTAAGTCTTCAGTAACTTGATTCTCTGTAAAAAGTTACTCCTCTATGTGCTAGAAATACTGTCCACATTCATGCGAAATAATTATTAATACTGATCCTTTTCCTATAGAATCTTTCATATCTAAAACATTCTTATTTACTAGATTCAAGAGACAGGTACTATGGTACTATCTCACATAAGATTACAGTGCACAGAATATTTTTCTCAGAATTAAGTCATGCTAGTATTTGAGAAGAGTGGTTTGGAATTGCATTGTCTCAGTGACACAATGCAAAAAGCATTACACAACAAGGTCCAAGAGTCACCAAATTATGTCATCACATGCACAATTTTAAAATCTTTCAGCCATGAAAATAATTTTCAAAGTAAAATATACATTTTTAACAGCAATGATTGCCAGCCAATAAGTACTATTCTCAAATAACAGGTCCTCAGACATCATGTGTATTAGAGTATGGAAAAATTTCAAGGCTTAGAGGTCAAGTCAATACTTACGCGGCCTTTAAAAAAAAGTATCTGACCAGATACTAAATCCCTTGAGCAGAAAATAAAATTACTAGAAATCAAGAACACTCAACAAAAAAAACATGGTTTGGGCCGGGGATTTAGCCCAATGGTTCCGTCGCCTGCCTCGCAAGCGCAAGGACCCGAGTTCGATCCCTGGTACCAAAAAAAAAAACAACAACAACAACATGGTTTTCCATAGCCACACGTCCCTAAGGTAGCAATACTGGACTATGCCAACTTCAAAGGCCAGAGGCTGGCCAATGTACTACAATAAGCCCAAGACATCTCAAACATAAAAGTTTTAAACAAGGATGAGTATTGTGTAAACCCAAATGTTTACCTCAAGAAGTAAGTGGTATACTGTCAAAATTCATCTGGTTTAGTCCTCAATTCAAAGAATGGCATATGTACAAACAGTGGAAATGGCTCCAAGAAATACCTAGATTTCTGAAAAAAATCTTTGGCAAACATTTCACTTCTGCTGTTTTTTTAAAAGGCAGTGAATTATCAGATTCTATTTGGAGAAAATATATCATGATAATGAGTCTTGTCATCACAAACAAATATCAATAGTTTCTTCCCAAAGATCCTCACAGAGATCCTGCCTGTTTATGGAAAGCCAAATATAACATAAAGGATTCTGGAATTCAAAAGGTGATACAAAAAAAAAAAAAAACAACTATGAAGAAGCAAAGTATTCTCATGTGATATGCACATTATGTGCTTATAATGCACATAATTTACCCAGGATTATATAACCTGGGTAAATTACTGCTTTGTAAAAACCCTCTATTTTCACCTGGAAATCAAAGCCATGGGTCTCTGTACTGTTAATTGTTTTACTTCCCTAATTATCTGTAATTATGCCACCTGGAAAATATACTTTTCTGATGACTTTTAGTTTTGATTACATGAGGAACCAGAGGGTGTGTTCTGAATCATATAGCTTCTACTTTTTTATAATTCAGCATGTTGTTTATCTGCACAAAAACACAATCCAGGACCAGTGGCAATGCTGTCTTTTGTGTGCACTTCCAAAGTGTGGTAACCTGGATATATGCTATTTAGAAACAAAACGTTGAGACTTCCAGGAAGATGGCAGAATGGTGAGCAGCAAAGAAACAGCCTCTTCCATAATTTGAAGTCCAGATACTGGAACAACAACCTGAGGAAGAGAAGGAGGGAAGTGAGATCCCAGGACCGAGCAAGGATCTGAAGTGAGAATCAGAGCTCAAAGGAAACAAAGAGAGGGACCACAATGCAGAGGAGAGAGGGGTCGAGTGGCACTTTCTCCCTGAGCAGTTCAAACCTACAGAGGCACGGTAACTACTGGCAACCTCACAGGCCTCCATGGAGAAACACACCCCAGGCACATGCATCCACAATGGAAGGACCAGTGGATCCTGTGGATCCTGTGGATCCTGTGGATAGCAGTGACTGATGAGTTATTTTTATGAATTCTGTTTTTGTTTTGTTTGGTACTGGGGATCAAATTCAGGACCTCGTACTTGCCAGGCAGGCGCTGTGCTGCCCAGCTAAATCTTGGGCCCTGGTTGATGAGTTATTCAGGTTTAGATGCCCCCCTGGAGAGAACAACTGGCTGGTAACCATTTTGGAAATGAGCCAATGGAAGTCAGAACTCAGAGCATCGGCAGGTTGACTTCACCTAGCAGCTCCAAATGTTAGGGTGAGATGTAATAGAGTTCAAGCTGGCAGGAGGTCAGGGAGCTGAGTTCAAGCCAGTAGAAGTCACTCAGTGTTGCAGGCTGAAAAACTCAAGTCCCAACCTCACAGCCAGAAACCAGAAGCCGACTAAACTTCAGTGGAACTAAAGGCCCAGGTTTGCTGGAATTATCCACCACTGCCATGATTCTACTACTAGTTGCTAGGATTAATCAACACAGATCTGGGCTCTGTCTGCCCTCTCTGTCAACCAGCAACAGCAGAGACATGCCCTGAAATACACTTTTTTCCCCTAGTTTTCTTCATTTCTTTGCTTTTTATTTTTTTCTATTTTTTTCTTTTTCTTGATTGTTCCTGTTTTCATACAAGTGAGAACATTCTTTCTAGAGTATTTTTGTTTGTCTTGTTCTATTCTTAATAGTTTCAGTTTCTTCCTTTCTTTTCCTCCTGTCTTCTTCACCAGCTCCCAAACCTTACATAATCTTCCTTTGTCTTCCAGCCTTCTTTCTAATCCCTTTCTCTTCTTCTATTTTTTTCTATTTTTTTCCCCAACTTCTTTTAAATTTTCTCCCTGAGGGTAAAAATTATCATACTGCAGGGATATTTACTTCACACAATTTTCTGGTTTGTTTTAGATCAGGTTATATAACTATAAATCCTGTTTGTACGATTAAAGATGTGTGTGCTGCTACTGTTATTGCTGATTGTACTATGTTAGCCAAGGTGACATAACCATTCTAATCAATTGTTCTTCCAGCTATGTCAAGACTGAGATTGCCAAAAAAAAAAAAAAAAAACTGAGATTGCCTAAAGGTCATAAATAAACAATACTTTTTTTTTTTTTAAATAAATAAACAATACTATAGGCCAGTGCCAAAGAATCAACAGCTGGGCCAAATAGGTAGCAATTTCTCGTCCTGAATAAATTGAAGACAAGATCTTGCAATAGACTCAAAATCCAAAGCCAGCTATACCTGGAACACATCTCTGAGAAGTGCTCATTTCCTAAGGGTTTTGATAAAAGCAATAAAGACACCTACCATAAACAATTTACAAGCATCAACACAGGAATTAAACTAAAAAAAAAACACAACGAGAAGACACAACAGTCAGATGCAATCCCAGACTTCCAGCTCACCAAGGGCAAACTCAGGGGGCAATGTGGTAGAACAATTCAAAAGCCACCCACCACCTGGACTCTCTG